TGCAGAAGAAGTCCTAACATCTCCTGCATTGTGAAAGCCGTGGGAGAGGTTATCCAGGATATTAAGGAACTCCTTCAGGAAGTTCAGACTGGGAGTGATCAGAAACTTTACAGCCAGTTTTGGTGGCAGCTTTCAGATGACAGGCAGAAGAACAATTTACAAGGTTGATGGCGTCTTTTACCTGTTGTATTCTCTGCCAAAAGTTATCTATAACAGGAGAGAGAGAGGGTAACTTGTGCTGGCTTATTGAAGTGATTGCTCACCCTTTGGCATAGCTGAACTGGGATAATGGCTGGCTGCCACACCAGGGATGCTGTCCTTGGTCTGTATAGCTTTTAGTGTAAGGAAGGGGCAGGAATAATCTGCTTGCCACATGGCTGGATATGGGAGCTGAATAGCCCTAAAACTGACAGCATGAGGAAGCTGATAATTTGTGACAAATTCAGCTTTTCCAGCCAACTTGTGGAACAGTTCTGTATAAATTCAGAAGCAGTGGGAGGGAGGGAGTGGATTGACCCAGCCAGTGCAAAGGGGGTCAGTGGCTGCTGCTTGTGCTGCTGTGGAGCCACATCTTTAGACTTGGCCTTCGAAAAGGTGACGCTATTCTGTGTTTGCTGACAAAGGAATGTTGTCTTGGGATGGGAAAAATTTATTTTTTAATTTGCAGCTTAAGCCAGATGTGCATGAACAACTCTCTAATTTCTGTTTTCACTGTGATATGTCCTTGCCTAAGTTACTTTTATTTCTATGTTAAGAAAATACTTAATTATTTTGCTTAAGTGATATAAGAGAGAATAGTATAGAGGTGTATATATAACACCTTTTAGTATAGTCTACCAGTATAATTATACCAATAAACTTCACTAAATGCATTGCTGTTGGATCAGTTCTATAATAAAAAATCTTTGGTCTCTAATATTTTAATTCTCTGGCACCTGAAATATAATATCCAGCACATTACATGACTTTTAAAATAGAAATGTGACTTGGAGTAACCTGAAATGCAGATATGTATATGTGCAGTAACAGAAAATAAAATTGTTTTTTCCAGTAACTAGTTTATTTACTACAAGTGAGAATATCACAAAAATACATGTCTGCTCCCTCATTTCCTTTTATCCACCATCAGACCTGGCCCAGGGGAGATGGTTATGTTAATAGTAGTCAAGGTGAAGAGGGGTGCTGGGTGCTGAGAGTGCTTAGCTCAGCTCCTGCTGCTGTAAGGAAACTCTAAGCTTTTAAAGTTGCACAGTTTCCATTGAAAATCAGGGTGAGTGTTGGAATTACTGTGTATATATGTGGTTTCTGTCCTCCTCCAGGTTGTTCAGCAGGCTGGGCACTTACCTGACTGTATTTTTACATACTGTTATCCACTGGTTTTTGTCCCTGCTTTTTCAAGGGCTTTTAAAACTCAGCAGTTAATTTTATAGTACGCTTAGGAAAGTCAGTTGTTTAGGTTGATATAAAGGGCCTGTGTTCTTCAAATGACTGAGGATTACTAGAGGTCCCAGCTCTCAATCTAACCATGAGAGCAGGGGTGCTGTGGAGAGCTGCAGCAGCTTGATTGTGGTCTGCAGTGGAATTAACACTTTAAAGCTGATGAAAACGGTCTCTGTGGAACCCCGTGTCTTCCTTTCAAACATTCCTGGAACCAAAGACTAAACTTGAAATGTGACTGGATAGCAGGAGCATAATATAGCTGTAATATAAAATATAATTGGAAAGGTCATGATTTGGTGTTGTCGAAATCAGGAAGCATGTGTGGCCCAGGATCTTGTTGTTGGGCCAGCTCAGTAAGAAAGAATACAGCACAGAAAGGCAGCCTGTGGTTTGCAGTAGACATATCTGAGGAACTTTCTATAGGTTTTTATGTTGCAGTATTTGGAAGCTTTTCCATAAGTGTTGGCCATATGGTATTATGTTCCTCTTTTCCATCTGCAGGAACTTCCTTTTTTTTTTTTTTTTTCTCTTCTTTTTTCTTCTTTTGAAGGCCTTGAGATTCTAAAGGGGAAAGCTACAATAGAAAAGCACCCTGCATGGTGGCAAAGGTATGAGTGGAACTGAAGGCATCTATTCAGTAGATCTCTGAGGAAATGGCTTCAGTAATGCTGCAGAAGCTTCCCTGCCATTTATGAGTATTCAGATGGTAGTTCTACCGTAGAGCTCTCTAAATAGACAATTATACTTTGTACTGAGTCCTACTGCAATCTGAGTCAGTATTGCTGAATAATTCATCTGTTAAAAAAAATAAAAAAGAGCTGTGATGCTTTTGCAAATAATATTTACTGGCTGAAACAAAAAATTAAAGCATGTCTTTTAATGAAGTGTGGGAGAAAGGAAGAGAGTAAAAATCATTTGATCTTTAGTGAATAAAATTGGGGAGCAGAAATACAAATAGGTTGATATTCTGATCTTTAGAGGAACTCTAGCAGTAGGAACAAATAAAATGCTTATGTAGAGAATTTATTCTGTTAAAGCCTGTATGACAAGGTGCTCAACGTCAAGTGTTAAAAGTCTTGTAACCTTTCCAGTGACTTCTGTTTGTGCTCTGTTAAAATTGCAGAGAACAGCACTGGGGATTTGGATATTTTTGTCTTCACTTGTGAGCTGGGGATAGGGAGAATGTCCACTTGCAAAATAACTTTCAGATGAATCTTCAAGAAATAACCTTTCATGAGCGAGCACCCCCATGGAAATACACATTCAACTGCTTCTCAGTGGATTCTTCTCCTCCTCCCTGATCCTACTGTAGATTGAGATGCCTCCTGCTGGGGATCTGCTCTGTGAGCCAGCTGACCTCCAGATCATGAGCTGTGGAAAGCTGAGGTTGGGCTGGAGGCAGTTCTGTGTTTGTATCTCCTGCGTGTTGGACAACTGATCTTGTCTGCAGATCAGAGCTGACATGCAGAGACTGAGGAAGGTTTTAAGTCGAGCTAAAAGGCATCTGTCCTTGTCCATCCAAAGGGAGTGCTGCTTTGCAGGTGCTGGATGAGACTGCAGAAGCTTAATAGTAGCCAGGAAGGATGAGCATTTATCAGAAAAATAGCTGAGACTGGGACTATAAAATAAACAGGTAATAAAGTAGAAACATCCTCATGGAGATGTGGGTGCTCAGATTTGGTTATTTATATTTGCAGGACAGTGGTGGCTGGATACAACCAAAAGCAGTGAGTTTGTCCTCTGGAAGGGGAGAGAAACTGTACAGAAGATTGTGATTATGCCCTTATTATCCAGTTGTGCTGTGCAGGAGAGATGGGTGTGAGTGCATCCCTGGGATGTGCTGAGCCTTCTGTTTGGGAGGCCTTTTCTCTGCTGAGCAGCTGTTGTTGCACATGATGCACACCCAGCACCCGTACAAAGAATTAGGCTGCAGCAGCTGTTTAGTAATCCCAGGTATCTGAAGGTGCTGGAAGGTCTTAAATATCCTTTCCAAGAGACACTTGATGGACTTGTGTAAGACTTGACAGTTAAATCAGTGCTGCTTATCTTTTACATGTTTAGTTAGTAACTAATAAAGGGGTGCATTATACTTATTTATAGTATAAGGATCTTCTGTAGAAATAAACCTCAGTTCCAGCTGGACAATTGGATCCTTGTTCAGATCCTGCTAGAGTTAGCAGTGCTCACAGATGGTTATCTCTTATGCTTCTGAATCTTTTAATTTTAACTTTCCAACTACAGTTAAAGGGAAACAGTTGCTTTGTGGTATTTCCTCGGAGTTGGAAGACAGCATAGGGTGAGATAGCACTTCACTAATCCGTGAATGTGGAGTGGATGAGGATTGTTGAGGTCCAGCTGAAGTTGTGTTTGGAGAGTGGGAATGTTTGGTAAGTGAGAGGAGGGTTTATAGGCCCACCTTCACTGTGCTGGTCAATATGGAGTTCCTGACTGTGGCTGCCATTAACATCATTAATTTAAATTATTAAATTATTCTGCCCTTGTTATTGTGATACATTACATTTGCAAAATTAAAGGTAAGTTGGCAAGACTCTACTGAGCCATGATATACTCTGCTAAGAGGGTAATTTTTTTTCAACTCAAAATAATTGGCTGTTTTGTAGTTTATAGAATCATTGAATCTTTTAGGTTGGGAAGGACCTCTAATTTGAGTCCAACTGTTATCCCATCATGTTCACCATTCAGTGTCCCTAAGTGCCACATCCACACATCTGTTTGAACACTTCCAGGGATGGTTATTTCACTATTTTGATGGAATAGTAGGTGGTGTCTACTATTTGAGGTGTTCCTATGCTTGTTTCTACCTGTAGTATCTTAATTGTATACAAAGTTGAGATTAGAGTATATAAGGACTCTGGTACTGCACAGAGGGACTGCACTTATGGTTGTAGAAGCAACCATAACTTTATAAAGTCCAGACTTCTTGGTCTGTTATTTAAATGTTCTTATAATATTGTTTCTATTGATTAATATCTCATCTCCTCCCTGCTTATAGTTCGGGTATTTAAAAACAACCAAACAAAACAACAAAAACACAAATAAACCCCTTCTAACAACTCTATTGCAGGATCATTAAATTAATTTCATGGAGACAGTAGCTGTTTATGGTATTGCAGAACTTAGAGGATGATAGATGTTAGTATATTATCAAGTTAGATAAAGATTTCAGCAGGGAAAAGGGGTTTATTTATATCTTTATATATTTATTTAAAGAGTAATGAGAGTTGGAGATGAAGGACTTCCATAGTATATAGAAGAGGCTGCCTGAATCCTGGAGCAGCCACTTGCAGGGGATATCCAGCTTTGCTTCCATAAACTTGGACTAAGTTTAGTGCTGAACCACTCTGGAAATGATAAATAATTTATAGAGCTGGATGACTGGTTTTGAGTAAATCTAGGAAATTAGAATTTTGAGTTTTTATATCTCTAATTTGAATTTCTTCAGTGCTCAGTAGGTATTTCAAGGGGTTTTTTGTTTATTTTCTTTTTCATCCACTCTTCAAAAATTTAACATATGACTAAGTTTCTGTTCATTATTACAGGGTCTGTAGGGTACCCCTCTGATGGAGGGGTTTACCTTGACCATGTTCTAGGTACCTGCTGTAAAGAATGGAGGGTCAAACTGCTTTGAAAAAGTTCACGTACCTGAGCAGATCAGGGGATTGTATCATGTGCATCTGAACTCTGACAAATGCAAATTTGAGGTAATATGGACTGGATTGCATGTCCTTGCTGCAGAAATGTCCCCCTAAAACCACTCCAGCCACATGGATCCTGTTTTTATGAGCAAAGTGTGGGATTCATGATGCTGTACATGAAGTAGTCTGAAGAGAATGGAACTGATAATAGAACTTGCCTGCTGCCTCTTGAGAAAATACAAAATTACTGTGTGAAAACTGGACCAGGCAGAGACGAGATTCAAGAAATATTAGTTTAAGGAGCTTAAGCTGATCAAGCCCAACACTACTTAAGTTTCAAACTGTCTTCCTTTTGTACATAACAAGAGTTCAGATGCATATTCCAGTGGTTTGCTGTTGGAAAAAAAAAAATTATAACTCTTCAGTATGGAAGTCCTTCCTCATCAAAGAAGAACAATGCATTTTGGTTTTGTTCCATTTAATCTGAAAGGAAAGATGGGTCTGAAATGCAAAGTGCAAACCTGTGACTGTCTGCCCGTATCTGAAAGTGTGAATTTGAGTTTTGCTTTAGGGTTGTCCTTCTGCAGTGGTGTCCAGTTGATTTGGCATGTTTGTTACTACTTCTTTTTGTTGTTTTTTTAATTTTTTTTTAAAGTTACTTAAATAAAACAACAAAATGTTTTTACTTGCAGCACTTGAAGAATCGGAAAGTGACATTTATGTGCGATTCATGAGGTCACACAAGTGTTATGACATTGTTCCAACAAGCTCTAAGCTCGTTGTTTTCGACACTACACTACAAGTGAGTACCCTCCTTTCAGTCTGCCTTTGCTTGCAGTTCTTTTTTTGTTTTTTTAGATGTTTCCTGAGTGTTAAATGAAATTTTATCTCCTGCAGAGAAAGTCTCCCATCGTGCTGTGCTTTGACTGCACAAAACCATATTGTTTCAACCGTATCTTTCATGTTATGCTAGAGGAGGAGTCAGGGAGGTCTTCCTAGCAGAACAGAAAGGATGTAAATTGCTTTGCAGTTGGAATCTCTCTCAAAAAAAATGTCAGATGAGCCCAAACTTATATTGGCTTCTTCATGGCCGTCAGAATTTACATAAGGACGTTTGATGTAAGATCCCTGTGCAACAGCTGAAGTGTACCCAGGTGTTAGGAGCCTGTTCCTGCTATATTAATAAAGACTATTTAGGAGTAAAATGGATGGCTTAATTATGCAAATTACTACATTCTCCAGAAAATTTTTGTTTTCAGTTTCTCATTTTGCATTTAATAAGTAAATCATCTGCTAGACTCTTGGCTCTGTCTGAAGAGTTTGTTTGCCAAAAGAAGGAATTAGCTGCCTGCTATAGAAACAGCCTAATCTGTTCTGCAGTGTGGTAGAAAGCTGTGGCTTGCTTTGTTTCTTGGATTTTGCAATGGGTATTTTTTGGCTTTTTGTTTTTTTTAATGTGTTTTTCCTTCTAAAGATGCTCCAATTCTGACTTAACTAAGTCCATTAAGTAATTTTGGTCTGGAATGTACTGCTCAGACTTCAGCTTTCCACAGTCAGAAGAAACTATGTAACAGATACTCAGTCCCAAAAAATTCACAGGTCCATCCTGAGTATCAGATAATCATATATAATGCTGAAGTGAGTGCTAAAAGGTGGAAAACCTACACTGACTTTTTCGCTGCCTTAGAGGGGAAAAAGTTCTGCAGTGTTTCCTTTCTTCTACCTGAAAGAGAAAATGACTGTCAACTCTGGAGTAAAGAACTCAGACCTCTTTGACCTGAAAGGTCAAATTTAGGATAGTAGGGTTCACTGTCACTCTTTCAACCCTTCTCAAAGACTGTTGGCTTCCTTTTGATTCCAAGGGATATTTTTTCTCTCACTATGAGATAATATGTTGGGAGTTGGTACCTGCATTCTCAGCTGTCCGTGGTCACCTGAGTCAAAGGCTTGAGCTTGATCACCACTGAAATTTGAAAGATGGATGTTCTTTATTCAATTAACCAGTTAATCTTGAGGCTGTTGGGGCAGGTCACCCATTCCTTTTGGATTCTTCAGACCCTTTGATGAATTACATCATGCCAGATACCAGTTTTCACTGCTGGAGCTGTGCTAATACTATTAACATAAAAAAGGAGGAGTTTCATCTCCAGTTGGTGAGGTAACACTTGGGGAAACCATAAAGGAAAAGAGGTAACTTAATGGTAAGGGAAGAACTCTCACCAACGTTTGACCAATGTCTTATTTGGCATCCCTAATGATGGTCTTGGATTATGACTGGAGGAGAACAAGGCATGCCTTGCTCTGTGATCCTGGAGTCATATTCTCATGCTTCTCCAGCTATTTGAAAGCAGTGGTGGTAGAAAGGAAGTCTGGAGTCACTCATTCAGAGTCTAGTATTCAATAAATGTGGACTAAATCTTGAACTGGTATTACTGGTGAGGAGCTTTTTTTTTGTCCTTTAAACTGCATGTTTTGAACTTGGCACCATTACATTGATTCCCAGTTGCATTAGTTTTAATTTATAAAGTCATAATATTGTAAAGCATTAATGCCCTTCCTGCATGGGCACTGTCTTCCAACTTAGCAGGTTATGCTAAGAAAAAATTAAACAGATTGTTCTGAATGCTTTCCTGGGCTACACTGCTGGGAGGTCTTTTACATACTTCTCTTCAATATTTCCCTTTAGTTCTTTACCTGGCATCATGTGCCACCACCATTGTCTTCACAACACATTATATTGATTCAACTTGATCAGTGTGGCTGGTGCACAAACGTGTCTGGAATATAAAAAGAGAATAGCTTTTTTTTTTTTCCTAAGCCAGCTGAATAAGTGGAGAATTAATTTAATAAGGGTAGTCAGATAAAAACTTCTAAACTGTTCTTTGTGTTTGAATTTTTAATGTATAAAATTATGTACTTTCCAGTACTTCAGGACTTTGTATCAGTTCTTATTTTGAAAACACAGTACACAGCTTTGAAACATTCAGTGTCCCATGAACCCTCTCAAATGGATATTTTTCTTTCCTGGATCTGTTTCACCCCTACCCACATCAGTGTTTCTCCTAATTTAAAAACAAATAAACAAAAAACACCCACCAAAAAAAAGGTGTGGTCCCTAGAAAAAGTTCTGCAGGGATTTGAATTCAGGTTTTTAAGTGCTAGAGCTAAAGCAGACTGTATAAGGGCTCACCTTCTGCCTCCCTTTGTATAAGCTATAAGCAATCAATGGAAGAAGAAAAAAAAATGGATCTGGGTTGTGTTCTCGTGGCATCCTGTGAAAGACTCTGGATTTTGGATTTTTATTTGGCTGCAGTATCCCATCTCCCTCTACTGGTCAGCGATCACAGCACACATCCCATGTTTCTACCCTGGAAAATTATTCATGAAGCGCTGTGGAAAGTATTCCAGACCTGTTGTTAGCTATGGGAAAACTGGAGATGTTCACTTTATATAGCGTGGCCCAAGTCATACTGCTCAAGCAACATTTGATTCATAAAAGTAAATGTTTAGGCTCGATGTCTATGGGGGAATTAGTGTAAAGATTCATAAGGAATCTTGTGTTAACCCTGACTGAGAGTGGAGATGGTCAGGTGCATTGGAAATAGGAAGAAGGCTTTAAATAGCAGAAATAGCAGCTAATGAAGAGCAGGAATGAGCTGACAGTGTGTTCAGACCTGTTTATTTGTCGGTCAGAAGGCATGGGGGCCTCAATTCCAGCAGCTACCAAGCCTCTGGCAGCTCCCAAAGTGCTGGCACAGTGCTCTGGTCCCGTGTGTGCAGAGCAGCCCTGTGCACAGGCTGTGAAAGCCGTGCTGTGGCTCTTGCACTCGTGTTGGGCATCAGCTCAGCTGGTGTGGGAGAGCTGTGCTCCAGCTGGACAATGTGCCCCTTGGCACAAGCATCTGCACTAAATAAATACAGTGTACTGAGCCCTGCTCTGTTCACCTGCCTGAGGCCAACTAACACAGCTCAGTTTGCCTTCTCGTAGTTTCACTTATAGTTCCCCCAAAACAGAGTATCTGCCTCTGGTCTGCCTGTGGTCCCTACCCCGTGCTGAATCCTGGGAAGTGGCAGAAAGTGCTGGCTGGCACAGTTCTCTTGATTTAGACTGACAGTGGACTGTTCTTTCACCCTTTCAGTTTATTCATTTATATTTTCTCCTCATAAATATTTATAGAATCATATCATACTTCGCTTCAGTGCTGTGGCTTTTCCCTGCCTGTGACCCACGAGTGCTCCTTGTTTGTGACAAGCTTCAGCCTTTGGCTTTTCCCAGAGAAGATGCTATCTTTGCTTGACACACATTAAAGAAACTTTACAAAGTCTGATCTGACCAGGAAGGGAGTCAAGAGACAATTAGAGGTTGTGAGCTATCCTGTGAAGTTTGGAAATTTTACTCTGTGGATGGTGGGGAAACTGGGCAAGTTGCAACAGTGTGCAGCTCAGTGGTTAAACCTTCTCATCTTTTATATGTCTCCCAGGATGAAAATAGTAGGAAAACAAACTCCTCACAGCCCCTTGGAGGGCTTAGGGGGATTGTCCCCTGAAGGGTTTCTCTGAATGAGCGTTCACTTACTGTTCATCATTATAATTATTCAATAAATGGATCTGAGGTATCTTTGTAATAGGCTCCAGGAAATAACTGAGCTAAGTGCAGATTTACTGGTCACCAGCTTGTGTCTTCAGCACAGCATTTGAGCACTGTACAAGTGTTGCTGCATTTAGTGTGGCAGTGATCTGGGGAAAGAAGGTGACATACATCCAGGTCTGCCTTTACTTTCTGTTTGCTGGGTTTAACCTGCATCTGGTACATACAGTGACACAGCAACCTGATACTACTACCCTTTGATATTCATGCTTTGAAGGAAAATAATTCCTGTATTAAATTCAAAGGTCAACAAAATACAGCACTTTGTTTACCATCTATCAGTCAGATTACTTTTGTCTAACATCACCTACTAATGTGATTTCACTTTTTTTCCTTGTTGCTGCATATATTTGTTTTCTCTAAAGACCAGTGCATTTCCCCCCCACATCCTGAACTCTGAATTTTTTAAGAAAATGCCTCTTACCTAGCTTATAGCAATCTCTAAAGCTTAACTCTAAAAGCTTTCTTAAGACCAGATTTCTGTCTGACCTCCAAAGAAATGTATTAATTTGTTGTGGCTTTGCCCAGGCTACATAAAGATGAGAAGGATTAGCTTGTTTTCTAATGCAGAACAATTAACCCTTCAAGAGGAAGGTAAAAGGTAAATGTAAGACAGAGGCTTCCCTGCTTCATATCAAGCAGCAATCTGCAGTTCCAGGAATGATCTGATAGTGAATGTAGTGGCTGTGTCTTGTCAAGTTTGCATAAGCTCTCTTAGGGTGAAAAGCTCAGTCTAACCTTTGACGAAATGATATTCTTACTTGTTAAAAGTCAATTTATGTAGCTTTTACTCACCATAACCTTGCAGCTGTTTATGAAGTATTTGTCCAAGACTTCTTCATAAAATAATAAAAATCAAACAGTAATCAGAATAAGCTTTCAGAAAACTAAAGACTCTTTCCTTTTATATCCTGAAGAAATCTTGGACAATTGCGTGACTTGAGGGTCAGATTATTTAACCCTTCTGTTTAATGAAATTACCTAAGTTGCTAATGGACCAGGTGTTGTTATCACCTCTGTAGGATTTTGTCAGTAGCTGTCACGCTAGTAAGAGCTCAAATACTGTTCTACCACAAAACTAAAAAAAAAATATTTGGAACAATGCTCTGGAAACTTCTTTAGGGGTTTAACAAGCTGAAAGTAAATATACCTTG